ATGTTGACCAGGATGGTCTCGATCTCTTGACCTCGTGATCCACCCGCCTCGGCTTCCCAAAGTGCTGGGATTACAGGCGTGAGCCACCGCGCCCGGCCCAAAAGACAGCTCTTTATTGCAGAAGAATTCAAATTACTGAATGTAAAAGAGAGAAAGAATGAACAGGCAAATATCACAGCAATAACTGCTGCAAGCAAGAACCACCATTGGATGCTAAAACAGGATATTTACACAGTCTCAAACTGTTTCCCCCACAAGATAGTTATTAATTACAAAGGGAATAACAGTAATTTTACAATGAAGGAACCAAGAAGACATCATCTTAACTAAGTCAAGATTAACAACACAAATAAAAAGCAAATCAGCATCACGTATTCCCTGAAAGGATGTGCTGAGAAAGGTGCAGCATCACTTTTGGATTATTACTAGCAAATGCATAATGTTACCATGTCATGAGAAAACATCAGACAAACCCAAATTGAGGGATATTCTACAAAATATCTGGCACCTACTCTTCGAAAGCATCAACGTCATGGAAAACAAGAAAAAGGAGGAACTGTCACAGAGCAGGAGCGACTAAGAAGCCATGACAACACAACGTGAGATCACAGACTAGACTCCGGAGCAAAAAAGCAACCAGTGGGAAAACTGGCAAAGTTCAAACAAGATCTGCAGATTAGTTACTGGTATATCAATGTTAATTTTCTGGCTTTGATAATTTTGCTATGGCTATATGATATGGTAACATTAGAGGAAGATGGGAGAGGATCAAACAAAGATTTCAATTTTTGCAATTTTTCTGGAAATCTAAAGTTATTTTAAAATAAAACCTTTAAGAAAGTGAAAACAGTAACAACTTTAAAAAATCATTTTTACTATTTAAAAAAATTTGAGTATTTTTAACAGGTTTTGGGGATTCTTATACACACTGAAGTCTGAAAACTACTAATTGAAAGAAACTTCTGGCCGGGCACGGTGGCTTACGCCTGTAATCCAAACACATTGGGAGGCCAGGGTGGGTGAATTTCAAGACCAGCCTGACCAACATGGTGAAACCCCGTCTCTACTAAAAATACACACACACACACACAAAAAGCCAGGAGTGGTGGCTGATGCCTGTAGTCCCAGCCACTTGGGAGGCTGAGGTAGGAGAATCACTTAAACCTGGGAGGTGGAGGTGCAATGAGCCAAGATCATGCCATTGCACTCTAGCCTAGGCAACAAGAGCAAAACTCCATCTCAAAAAAAGAAAAGCATAAAGAAAGAAACTCCTGGGCTGGATGCAGCGGCTCATGCCTGTAATTCCAGCACTTTGGGATGATGAGGCAGGCAGATCACCTGAGGTCAGGAGTTCAAGCCCACCCTGGGCAAGATAGTGAAACGCCATCTCTGATAAAAATACAAAAATTAGCCAGGCATAGTGGCGGGTGCCTATAATCCCCGCTACTTAGGAGGCTGAGGCAGGAGAATGGCTTGAATCCAGTAAGCAGAGGTTGCAGTGAGCCGAGGTCACACCATGGTACTCCAGCCTGGGCAATAAGGGCAAAACTCCATCAAAAACAAACAAAAATAAATAAAGAGAAAGAAAAAAGAAAAGAAAAGAAAAGAAAGTCCTGCAACCACTGAAAAGAAGCTACTCACGTTGTAGGAAATATTGTGGTTCTCATATCAAACTAGACAAATACTACAATGGAAAACTGATCTGGCCCCATACAAAAGTTCTCATTATTTGGATTATTCATTTGTGTCTTTCTTTTTTAAGATAGGGACTTGCTCTGTCACGTAGTCTGCAGCACAGTGGCAATCATAGCTAACTGCAGCCTCGATCTCCTAAGCTTAAGTGATCTTCCTGCCTCAGCCTCCTGAGTACCTGGGACTACAGGTGTGTGCCACTATGCTCCAATATTTTTTTAATTTTTTGTAGAGGTCTCACCATGTTGCTCAGGATGGTCTGGAACTCCTGGCCTCAAGTAGTCCTCCCACCTCCACCTCCCAAAGGACTAGGATTACAGGTATACCCCACTGCACCTGGCCAAAAGCTTTATTTCTTAACTATTAATAAATAGAAAAACATTTTACTTACCTTTATATCACTACCTGGTGTGGCACTTAGAGCCAAGATTCTAAAGTGATTTGTAAATTTGACTAGTTCTCTTACAACCTTAAGGAAAAAAAAGTTATTTAGTTTCATCTGTTCAATGCAAAAATAACAGTGATTCTGCTAAACAACCTATTATATATGGTCCCTTATCATTATTCTTTAATCAGTATATTGACGATCTAGTGAGTAAACTACTACTGGTTATATTATCTGAAGAGCAAAGGATTTAGATTTATACTCAGTGCTAATTAATAACACAGCAAGGCTTCTTCTACAGAAAAAGCTATAACATCAAAGCCAAATACAAAGGCAAATCAAAATAAAGAGGCTGGGCATGGTGGCTCACACCTGTAATCCCAGCACTTTGGGAAGCCAAGGTGGATGGATCACTTGAGCTCAGGAGTTCAAGGCCAGCCTGGGCAACATGGTGAAACCTGGTCTCTACAAAAGAAAAGGAGAAAAAAACAAACAAAAAAAAACCTCAAAGGGCTACTTCAAGGTCAAATGGAAGAGGAAGAAAGTTCAGTCTCCATTGCCTGGGCCAAAGTTTAACCTTATAGCTATATCCATATGCACACTTGAGAGATTAAGATAAACCTCAACAGGTAAAACTGCAAAAAAATTGTAAACAGCAATATGAAATTATATTTGAAATTTTGGGAAAGTTTTTTAAAAGTTACATTTTATGTGCAAAGCTCACAATTAAAAAAAAAAATGTTTAGAGACAGGATCTTACTGTGTCACCCAAGCTGGGGCACAGTGATGCCATCCACCATAGCTCACTGCAGCCTCAAACTCTGGGGCTCAAGTGATCCTCTGCCTTGGCCTCCCAAGCAGCTTGGGCTACAGGTATGTGCCACCAGGCCCTGCTAATTTTTTCACTTTTTGTAGAGGCAGGGTCCCCTACATTGCCCAGGTTGGTCTTGAACTCCTGGCCTCAAGTGATCCCCAGCATTGCCTTGCCAAAGTGCTGGGATTACAGGTTCATACCACTGCACCCAGCTCACAGTTTTTAAATTAAGTGTATTCATTTAAAAATATAGTAATTTGGCCAAGCGCAGTGGCTCACGCCTGTAATCCCAGCACTTTGGGAGGCCGAGGTGGGTGGATCACAAGGTCAGGTGATTGAAACCATCCTGGCCAACATGGTGAAACCCCGTCTCTACTAAAAATACAAAAAATTAGCCGGGCGTGGTGGCGCATGCCTGTAATCCCAGCTACTCTGGAGGTGGAGACAGGAGAATCTCTTGAACCAGGGAGTCGGAGGCTGCAGTGGGCTGAGATCACACCACTGCACTCCAGCTGGGTGACAGAGGGAGGCTCCATCTAAAAAAAAAAAAAAAATACATATATATATACACACACACACACACACACACACAGAGAGAGAGAGAGAGAGAGAGAGATAGATAATAATTTGACATAATTTTTAAAGTTTAAATTTCCTTTTAAATCCTTAAACATTTCCTCAGTAGCACCAAAGCACCATCTGCACTTTCTGATTTGAACTCAACACCCATTTCTAGTATGATTAATACTGGTAATTTTCCAGATTCCCATGTGCCACTTCATGTGAAGCCCCAATACAGAGGAAAATGCACTTCCATGTAGACTGATTTGCAGAAATAGCTCTTGGTATACCATAGTTCCCAAATTAAACACAGGAATTAAACAAGAAAACTAGATTATCCAAAAATCACTCCAATTTCAATCCAAGACAAAAACAAATTCAATGAGACTAACACTGAATCTTGATGAATATTGAAAAAATACTATTTATAGAGTTTTTAAAAATATAGTACAGATTGCATATGAAGACATAACATTATACTTATTCTTTTTCGGAAACAAGTAAAATCATTGTAACTGATGCAAGACAAAATATCCCTAGTGACCATTTTCAGTTTAGCTTAATGCTGGAAGTGATGGTCCTTATATATCATAGAAGGATTTTTAAAAAGTCATGAGTGCATCAAGGAAGACAAAAAGATTGCTTACTTGATTGATGCTTTTTACAAAATCTGTTCTGTATGATAGCCAAAATTCAAAGTGTTCTTTCAGATTGTGAGGGAGTTTTGGCAATTCTGAGTGAAATCGTTTTATTGTTATAAGGCACATGTATCAATATGCCTTCCAGAACTATTACATATGAAAAGTTGGTGGCTCACGCCTGTAATCGCAGCATTTGGGAGGCTGAGGCGGGCGGATCACGAGATCAAGACATCAAGACCATCCTGGCCAAAATGGTGAAATCTCGTCTCTACTAAAAATACAAAAATTAGCTGGGCGTGGTGGCCGGAGCCTGTGGTCCCAGCTACTTAGGTGGCTGAGGCAGGAGAATTACTTGAGCCTAGGATGCACAGGTTGCAGTGAGCCGAGATCACGCCACTGCACTCCTGCCTGGCACCTGGCGATGGAGCAAGACTCTGCCTCAAAAA